TAACATTTGGCTAATTAATAACATTCAATAAACTTGACTAATAAAAAAATAATCTGAAAAAGGTTTGGCTAATAAATAGTCATTACCCTATTTTTTTAATCAAACTCCACTACTTCACTTTAGTTGTTTATTCCTGCAATCCCTCTCGCGTTAGGAATGACAATTGTGATATCCATACTCGTTCGTATCGAGATAGGTCGATCCATATGAGTAGGTAATTTAAATAAACAATATTAGAAATATTTATTTTATTAGGAAATCAAAAAACAAGGTATAACATGATAAAATGTAGTTAAACTAGATTCTCATTTATTTACAACTTTATAATTGCTAAATTATAAGGCAATAAAATAAAAATCCTAAGAAATCTGAGTAAATTTATATATAATTTATACAAAAACGGGTCGAGAATGGAGGATGTTAGGATGCGTGAGGTCGAGAAGAGTACTCATATCTGCCCGCCCCACATAAGCGGTAGGTATTGCCCACTTTAAAACATGTTATCGAATAATATGAGTTAGGTGAAAATTGTCATCCTGTTTCATGAGATATTTGTAATGCCTTATGTAAGAAATTTTCATACATATTGCTTAAAATTCCATCTTTACATGAAACTTATGTAACTTCTTTAATTTAAAGGGTTATATGGTAGCAAAATAATGAGGTTACTTATACATGAGAGTACAAAAAGACGTATTACAATTATAAAGTGGAGGGCAAGTAATGTTGGAAGGGTAGAGAGGGTTTTGCGCATATGTAATTATTGTTGAATTGAATAGTGAATCTTAATCTAACTTCATGTTGTGAAGAAAAAGGTTGAACCGGAGATTTTAATTTTGAAGTCCATAGGACTAAGATTTTTTTTTATTGGAGTTGCATGATGCTGAGAAACTATTTCAAAATACTGGTAGAATAGGACATCCTCGTTTTTTTTTTTCTAAAAATTGAGGTTAACAAAAACCACATAAATAACAAAGGAAATTACAAATCTCATAAGTGACTTCATAGTTTGAAAGATAATCAAAGATGGGAACGAACACATCTCAAACAATTATTGCAAATGACTTGGACGAGGTCAATTTATTTTGCATGATAATAATGTTTCATATTTGCATAAGTTTTGCCTTCAAATTTTTTAGCAATGAAATGAGGAGAATTACAAAGACCCTTTTTTATGGTAGAGGCAATGAAATAACGACGTTGTTAAGAAGAAGGCATTGAAATTCAAAATCGATAATGAATATAGTTATGTTGTTAAGAAACGACGTTGTTAAGAAGAAGCTAATAATACTCGAGACATTTGAGAGTGGAGATAGTAGAATCGATAATGAATATAGTTATGTTATTAATAGTTGAGATAATTACTACTTATTGTTTATATCATTGATTAAATGTATCTGGCCAACGGGCCGGGTTCTGTATCTAGTATGTAGAATACGTATTCCGTTGGGACTAAGAAAATGTGTTAAATACCTAATTCACTGCCTAGAAAGCCTAATGAAGAGTCTATATATAGATCATAGGGAATAGAAACGTGACCTAGAGAGGTAAATCAACGCCAAAAACAACGGCAAAGCCGGTGATTATCTGTTATGATTGTCGATTTATAGTGTTTTTGGGGATCTCATTTTCAACTAATGTCCCCCTAGAGATTCTTTGACTATTTAATCTTTGATTTTGACACATATATGATTTGATTCTTTTGTCTTTGTGTTTGATTATTTGTTTGGTTTATTTTTATGCGATTGTGTGCGTAGAACGAGGACTATCTTCAAAGGATAAATCCTCTACACGACTTTGTGGGTGGATGAGACTGGACACGACAACCCTTCATGATCGATTATCAATTAATCAAACTCTACGTTTTTCCTGAAGGAAGAAATCCTTAGTGTCCATATCATTGCCTATTTGACCTGGTATTTGCCATGGTCCATGGTAAGAACAAACCTAGCAAGGATCATGTAGTTCATATATTGCCAGGATCGAGCGTTGCGATCAAAGGTTATAGTATGACCCGCTTAGGCAAATTTTCCTCGTTGTGTGGATTGAAAACTTTGATCGCCTATGTCGGAAGGACGTACACCGCTTCAAAAGGTATACATGCCCCATAATCACACTCAGTTGCATAACATGAGATATTCGAACCGTAGGCTGGAGGTCCTGCGTACGTGCCTATGGACTATGGATCATAGTAAACGGATTCTTCCAATCACGACAGTCTATAACTTGTATCTTAATGTGGTTTCACGGAAAAGGAACTCTAGGGTAGCTTGCCTATGTAATGCCTCACCCTCATGCGTCCTTCAGTAGTCATAGTATTAGATTTAATGTATTTTAGTTTACCAAAAGTTTCCAAATATAAGATTATATCATGAATGATTAAAAGCGTTAAGAAAATCTATTTCATCATGTTGTATTTTTTTAGTGGACCCACCTAAAATATAATCTTGACTATGCCCCTGACTATGAATTACTTACTATTGCTCGTTCATTGGTAGGTTCAGCATCCCTCCCTCATATTGTGAAAATTGGCTTAGGATAGGGTCAGTAACCATTGGTTACTGACCTATGAGTAACCATTGGTTATTGATCTATGAGTAACTAAATCTAGACCTTTGGATCTAAGTGGGCCCAGAAAATTCAGATATAAGGGTTGTCAATTAAAGACATTTTATTTTTCCTAGTTTTCATAATCGGCTCTTATCTTCTTCGTTATAACTCGGATTTCCATTTTTTTGCACATATGGAACGAGCTCGTTGTGCTCTACAAAATGAGATAAAATTTCAATATATTTCGATAATTTGTTTTTACCAACTACATACCATATGTTAACTTCTTCGTTTTTAAGTCGTTTTTGAAAACGTTTGCTCAAAAGGAACGAGTTCATCATGATTTATTAGATCTACAAATTTCTGGGTGAAAAAATACTGGACCAAAAAAATTACTATACTTTACCACTATGGTATGTGGGTGGTAAGTTGTAGTAAACAATGATGAAAGTCGCAAATGACAGTTAATATACTCCTACTATCATGTATTCAACTTTCTTACTATATTGGTATGTTCATACTATCATGGTACGCTTTATTATTATATGGTATTAAATAGGAGCATACCATATGGAAATGACTGGTAAAAATTTATTCAATTTTTTTGTAATAAAAATATATCAAAATGGATATAATTTTAAAGATCACATTTAATCTTATTTATCCGTGCAAAAAAAATTAAATTTTGACTTAAAACGAGAGAGAAATCGTCCGTTAAAAATTAAAAGGAAAAAAATAAAAAACTTTCCGATAGAGAGGGATACTGATGTCATGCTGATGTGAACGAGTTATTGATGATTACTGACCATAAAGTTACTGACGTCACCATTCCTGTGAAAGTTGAAACCTTATATCTAGAGGTACTTGCCTTGCATTGAAGATGTAAAGCGAGACTTAAGCTATGCAACAATAGCTCGATAAGAGAATCAAAACCCTGTAATGATCCCAATTCCCAAGGCACAAAGGCGTTTCTGAACTCGGAAGGTCGCTTCGTGGATGCTTCATAAATATAACCCGTGATTGATATGGAATTATCACGTTATTGGTGGCTAGCTTGCCCCAAAATAATGGGGATACATCCATTCGGGAAGAATAATAAAAAAAAAAGGCGATGATGATGATGTCGATAATATTAGACAGCCAATTCCCCTATCGCTGTTGGTTGGTCAAAGTCCCCACACACACACATACTACACGGTAGGATTGTCAACAATAGGCCGCGCGAACGGACGAAAACGACGCCACCAACTGAACAGCGGCGACTCTCTCTCTCTGTCTTGCATTTCCACAATTATTGGGCATCAAATTCAATCCCTTCTTTTTACTTTTGTTTGTTGGGTCACTTTTTCCAAATTTGTTAGACTGATTTATATAGGGTTATGTCGGTTGGACAATTAGTATTGTTACAATTTCCTTGAAAAAAAAAATCATTGGTACTATCAATTCATATTACTTCATGGAAATGCTAACAAAATATGAAGAAAAACAATAGGAAACCATTATAACTAAATAAATTTAATCATATATAACATATTTGAAAACAATCACTCCAAAATCTACATCATAACATTTTAAACAAAATGAAAAATTTCATATTTAAATTTTAATACATCGTTTGACATCAATATCGAAAAATTTATACTTGAATCCAACAAATAACATCAACATTTAAAAAGCAATTCAAAAACCATATTTCAATTTAGATTGACCAAAACGTTTACGTTTTATTTAAAGGTCGAAAATCAATCCTACCAATCATACCGAAAACACTAAAATCAGTTTTACACCCAAAACCGATTGAACCCAATTGCATGTCCACCGGCCTTAACAACCATGGTGACTTCCTCTTGTTTCCTTCTTTTCCTCTTTTGCCATTCATTTCCAATGGCGCTTCTCCCTCCGTCAATCTTGGTTTTCAACATCACACCCAAAACCATTTTCACACGTGCGCTATTGGAAGCTCGTTGAATTTCCAACATAACTTGATCCGCTGATCAGCACAGAGAGAAAAATAAAAAAGTAACAATTCTCCATCTTCCACGGAAAACAGAACCAAGCCAGTCCATCTCCCACTCCCTCCAACAAACATCTTATAATTTCTCTTGACTTATAAAACACCCACTTGAACCCTCTTCCTCCACCTTCTTCTTCTTCAGCTGCTCCCCAATCATAATAACAACAACAACTCAGCTGTCATTCCAAAAAGTCTCCTCTCCCCCCTCCAACCCAACCCATCAATTCATTTCACAGCTATATACCCTTAGATCGCTGCTGCAGTTTTTTCAGGGTTCTGCGATACGTCGTCTAACAAAGTCAAATCTAAGTTGGCAGAGCAGAATTCCCGGCGAAGTAAAGTCGTTCGCATCTTAGATTCATCAATCAATGGAAATCGCACAAACCCAGTGGCTGCCTGAGTTGGTAAGTAGGCATTATATATTTTGTTAATTTAGTCACTTAATTACTACTCCTTGGATTGTTGTAAAGATTTTGTGTCCTTGGATCTGTGTCCAAAGCAGGGAATGGAAGATCCAACTTTCAATTACCACTACCAGTCCGCTCTCGACTACGCAATAATGGACGACTTCAACTTCGACCACTCCTTCTCCTCCGACATGAACTTCATCCCCAACGAAACGATTCCAGCTGCTCACACCATGCCTCAAAGCTTCACTCCACCCCCCTCCAATTTTGCCGACAGCTATGAAATTGAAACCTCCAGGCCTGCCAAAGTTGCCAAACTAATTACCAACACCAGCCAATTCTCCAAAGCTCCTTCTTCTCCGTATTCGTGCATCATCTCTTTTGAAAGCTCCACCGATTCGCTCCAGAAGCCTCCTCGCAGCAGCGCCAAACCAGCTGCTGCTGCTGCAGCTGTTGTTAAGCCTGAGTATGCATCTAATTCTCTGATTCCGGAGCCTTCTTCCGTCGTCGACGAACAATACGGTTCCGTCTTCAACAGTGGACAGGGCATCAAAAGGACGGCTGCCGCTGCTGCAATGAGCAGATCCCCTCTTAGTGCACAGGATCACGTCGTGGCCGAAAGGAAGCGCCGCGAGAAGCTCAGCCAGCGCTTCATTGCCCTCTCAGCTGTTGTCCCAGGGCTAAAAAAGGTAACGATTCTACATAATTATTACAATCAAGCTTCATATGATTACACAAAAATAGTTATTATTACAGGGAATATTAATTAGTGTAAGAGAATAAAAAACAGATGGACAAGGCGTCGGTTCTGGGAGACGCGATCAAATACCTGAAGCAGCTTCAGGAGCGGGTGCAGACGCTCGAGGAACAGGCGAGCAAGAAGACGATGGAGTCGGTGGTTTACGTGAACAAGTCCCGTGTGTACAATCTGGACGACGACGAATCGTCAACTGACGAGAACTGCTGCTCCGACGACGGCGGCTCCTCCTCCAACCAGTCCCAGCTCCCGGAGATCGAGGCCAGAGTCTCGGGCAAAGACGTCATGATCCGGATCCACTGCGAGAAGCAGAAAGGATCCCTCCCGAGACTGCTGGGAGAGGTGGAGAAGCTCAATCTCAGCGTCGTGAACAGCAACGTCCTGCCGTTTGGAACCTCCATCCTTGACATAACTGTGGTCGCGCAGGTATTGTTCGTAACATACTTTAACTTCATCTATGTTCATAATACAAGTTGTGACAAAAACAAAAAAACTAACCATTGGTGGTTATTGTAGATGGACTACGATTTCTCCATAACAATGGTTGACCTTGTGAGGAACCTGAGAAGGGCTCTGAAATAGATCACCGCTCTCATCCGAAACTGCTACACATCGATACATACAAATTAAAGTAGACCTTAGTACGTTTTTTTTGCACTTCCGTACGTGCTTTTTTGATCCACCAAACTTCTGAAAGGATCTTCGCCGCCAACTATCAAAGGATGCTGATGGTTTTTTTCCCCGTTCTTCTTCATCAAGTGGGGTTGTTTGTTTGGGTTACAACCCAATTTTTTGCCTGATTGATATCAGATCAAACAGGTTTATTAGTCACCCCCTAGATGGCGTTGAAGAACGGGATATTACTGCAGTACTGTATGATATTTTACTTCTTGAGGGAGTTTTTTATGAGAGTTCTGTGATTTTTACTCTCTATGTAATTGCCCTCATTAGTCTCTTGTTGTTTCCCTTTGATTGGTGGTGGGACATTTCCTGTTTAGGAGTTTTTTGGGTTATGCGTTTGTTGTATTATGCTTTACTTTTTTTTTTCTTTTTCTTCTCTGGGTAGTTGGGCTATTTGTGTAATTGTTTTCCACTCCAGATTGTTGTTTAGATTGTCGTGCAATAATAAAGGCTCCAGCTTAATTATCATCATGAACCTTACATTTTTAGTCTTTAAGAGTATCTGAATTTCCATCTTTTGGTTGCGATTGGTTCTTATCCTCGAGAAGTCAGGAATGGAATATGCCAATTTGTCTATTTGGATTATGTGCCACTACATAAAGACTTTCTATTATTTTTTCACGAATTAATATCTATCTTATAGGGCACTTAGATCTCAAAATCTTTTATAGAAATTTATGATTACAATGCATCATCCACTTGATATAATTGTAAATAAAAAAAATAGGTCAATTAAAGCTCTATATATATTGCATAGTGAAATGAAATATATCATAATGATACAAACCTATACCATGACAGTATACTTGAACCAAAATTATTTTGAAATTATATTAAAAATGAATATCATAGACGCTTTTGTTAAGGGTAATAAAGTTGATGTTTGCGACCGGTTGAATTGTGATGTGTTGATTACTAGCTTGTTTGTGTCTATTATTTTGGAGGATGGGCGTGCTCGTTTCTGAATGGTGCTTGATCATATTGTGAAAGAGGTAGCCAAGCTCAAGGGAACCAATAAATCAAAACAAAATCAAAAGAGAATGAATAAAATGCCAACACTGGCATCAAATTCTAAGAAGAGTTTTTTGGATAACGGTGAAATTCATTTAATTAGTAAAGTTACAAAAAAGGCAAAACAAGAAATAGGGAAGATAAGGAGAAGAAAACAGAAAAAAGGCACGGGTTCATCAGCTAAAAACCACATTCGATTCAAACAACACCTAAAATGAGAAGCAAGAGGACTAAGACTCGATCAACAAGCAAATGAAGTTACAGCTGCAAAAAACAAGAGGTTCAAGGGCCGCTATTGCTGTCAACGGTCAAGAAAAGAGATGCTTCATGTTGTTGACCCCGACGCCTTCAAAAATGTTGCATTGGAGGCCTTAGGAAAAAGGTCCAACCATCCCCAATCTACCTATCAATCTTTCCTGCTACCGTGAGGCAAGATGCAATGAGTATACCTATCTTATAGGAGACAACTTGCGAGGTTGAACACTTGTCTTAGAAGATCCGACCGTTCCTCTCCTTCCACACACAACACAGCAGTGCGTGCAGCAAAGACTGCGGAGTTCACCTCTTGATCACTTGAGGTAGGTCAGAATTTATATGCCTATTATTAGAGTAGACTAAAATGCTGATGATCATCCAAACTTCCATTGTGAATATGCTATTAAGAAATAAGTGATCTGGGTCTTCTTCACTATTGGTGCAAAGAGGACACCTGTTGGACAAGCTCCATCCTTTTATTTTAAGTGCATCTTGTGTAACAATTCGATGTTGATATGCCAACTACACAAACAAGCATGCTTTGAACGGTACGTGACTCTCCCGAATGGTTTTGTGCGGAAAAACAACCCTCTCACAACCTCTCCCTTTCCCTCTTAGCACCCCCCCCAAACAGAAACTTTAAAGGAAAATTCCAAGATAAACTCCCATTATCTGTTAAAAGGATATTTGGTAGTCTTGCACGAGGGTTCTCAACTGTCACGGTGACTCGAGAGAAATCAACAGCAAGGGTTACTTCTTCAATCCACCGGTCGTTCCAAAAGGAGATGTCTTCACCCGTGCTTCCACTGTAGTCATGAACACATCTAAACTGATCTCCAGCCTTCCCTCTTACAAGCTCCAATGTATAGGTCCTCGCCCGAGATGCAGTCCATCTTTATATGGTGTAGTGGAAGTCTTCTTGCATAGTTTGCATAATTGAATCGTTCCCCATTTAGGATCAAGTTCAAACCTAATTAAGTACTTCTTTGCAATGAACTTGTAATCGAACCATTTTGCATAGACACCAAGACACATCCATTATGTATCAAGTTGCAGGTTTTGATTTGCACCGCCTTCTTATCTCTTGTAGCCGACAACCAAATATTCCATTTGTAGCTAGGATCACAAAAGACTTGAACACATTTTGTATCACTATGTCCAAACCTCAAAAGAAACTTGTTCATTATCGAGTATGCCTTGACAGTCTCCTTAAACGTATGAAAATCTCTGAAGATTGGTCCAATCCTGAATTGAGGATTTCCCATATCATTTTCTAGATTAAATTCTTCAAACCTTGTTCTTGAACTTCCTTTGTCATCACTTTAGTGGATACTACCCAATTAGTCCGGATCAACACAATAAGTGTCAACATCTTCCGGAAGCACATCATCGATGGGAAAATGATGATTTCCCCCTCCACCAGCTAAATCATCTATATCAAACTCGTCGTCGCTCACTTCATTTTCAGAATCAATGAACCCACTGTCGGCATCTGAGTTATTTCCTTCTTCTCCTTCTGGCTGTGGAATTACAGTTGAAGGTTGTCCTTGGTCCTTCTCATTGTTGAGGGCTGTCATAGGTGTTTGACGACTCGTGTTGGCAGTTTCTAGATCATTACCACTTGATTTGTTGGCTGTTTTTTCATTGTTACAAGCTAAGTCATGAATATCTGCTTCTAATGTAGCTCTTTCCAGCTCCGCTTTTTTGGTGAGATACAACTCTAGAATTTTTTTATCTTTGACAACTTCTTGAGCTATATTCAACAATTCTTCATCGTACTTCAACTCCGTGAGACCTTCCTTAAATCTCTCGCCAATAACTTTATAGTAGTATGACAAACCATTCAACATCCTATACTCTTCCATGTTCCTGGTCCCGACATGCTCTTGGTATCCTATATCGGTAAGAAAACCATCTAACTCCAAGATTGAACAACAATCTAGGTCAACCCAATCCAAGTAATGTACTTTTCCTTTAAAATAGCATACATCTTCACTCATTATGTAGACCATTTCTCCACCATACATCTTCACCCATACGCGGGTATAGCATCAAGGTTGCTAGGACCACTCAAAATCGGGGCCATGCTTACACCGATCACTCCAAGTCAGAGCTTCAAGAGATTATCCTTTGCTTCCACTTACAGAACACCAAATTGCATGCCTCTATATATGGATGTACGAACCATTGATTAAAAAACAACACACAGAATTGTATTAAAAAAAAACAGAGACCCACACCAAGATTCTCGACGACCCGGAAGCATAATTTCACTCACCATTCTCATCATCCTCATAAATCAAAGAAAAGCCACAGGTTTAGAAGAGACATAGCCTAGACGGTCGTTCAATGAGAAACTCCTAAATCACAAAGGAATGGCAACGATCAGTTCAACGATTGTTGTATTACAGAACAAAACTAGTTACAGAGACAGAAAATGGAAGAGTTGAACCAAGGAAACGGGTTGCCAGCCGCCTTCGTCTTCTCCGGGAGTGCAACCAGGGGCGGACGCACGGAGGTTTAGGGTGTCCCGGGACACCCCTAAATTTTGGGGAAACGATTATTCAACCCACAGTGGTAATTTACGTATCGGTAAAAAATTATAATTGGTAGTGAGGGACACCCCTGAAATTTGAAAAAATGATTATTCTAATGTCATTTTTTAAATTTTTGTATGAGAATATAAGTGATAGGTTGAGTAATTCAAACCTAGAGCACTATTATTATTAACAAACTTAATTTTCATTAAACTACAACTCATTTGTTGTTTGATTTTAAACACTGTATCATAGTAAAATGTCATTCCCTATTTCTAATTATTTTCAAAACATAGAAATTAAACTAATTTCAATCTACCCTTAATTTGTATTGATTTTATGGTTGTACGACAAGTGTTGAAAGATTCTTTCAGCTTTGGTTTACATCGAGAACATGTTTGCAACTCGAATATGCGATAAGTTCGTGAATGATTGTCTAGTAGATTATATAGAGACAAATTTTTTACCACTGTACGAGTAAGGTATTTTCTAATTTACAATTTTATTTTTCTTAATTTTTTTATTTTTATTTTTACTAAATTTATTTTTAAAAAGAGGACACCCCTAGGAAAAATTCATGGGTCCGCCACTGAGTGCAACCCTTAATTTTTTGTTTGTCGTATTCTCCGCTTCGGCTAAAGAACACAAGGTTTTCTTGCTTCACTTTGCATGCCGGAATAGGAGATGAAGAGTCTGTTCAATTTTAGGAGAAGGAATTCATAAAAAAAATTCCCCTTTTTATTTATCTTATTTATTTCACGAGATTGGTAATAAGTGACGGCTTAGGTGACTCTGCATGCCCTATCCAACATGGGGTATCTTAGTTGGCAAGAAAAATATTTTATTTCACACCGAGAGTTAATTGGACGGAAAATGAGTACAACTATGGTTAAGCGATATTAATAGCATCCGATGCATAATTTTGATTTAAGTTGTACAACTCCCCCATTTATTAGACTTCAGGGCTATCCGAGCCATTTTACCCTTTTTTTCTCTAACCTTTCAACTAGTTTCTTTTTTTTCCTTGTGTTTTCTATTCTTTTATCTTGTGAGTGTGTCAGATATGTCTTGTAGTCTTTTTCTACAAATTTCTACAAAAAAGTTAGTAAATGAAAGTTAGTAAACTCTCACTATCATGTATTCAATCATCCTACAGTCTGATATGTTCATACCACTATGGTACGCTTTCATACCATAAGGTGTGCTCTTATTTAATACCAATCAAACACCACCATGGTATAGATTGGTAATAAATTCCTCAATTTTTTTGTTAAAAAATATATCAAATTGGATATAATTTTGAATAACGCAATTAATCTAATTTATCTGTGCTAAAAAATTTAAATTCCAACTTAAAATAAGAGAAAAATCATTCGTTAAAAGTTAAAGAGAAACATATTAGAAGCCTTGCATAAATAGCAGGAGGTACCGATGTGACGATGATAGTTAACTTATGCATAATTATTTACCAATAGATTGCTGATGATAGCTTCCTCATTCCAGGATAATGGTGACAGATTAGAATTGTCACTTTAAATATTTTGCGCTAAATATAACCTAATTTATAAACTTACCAGATTTTAGTGATATTTGTCTTATTATTATGAAGGATAAAAAATTTTAAAGTTAACATGTGCATGACTCCATCTAAGCAATGCACCCTAAACATTTGTGTAGTTTTTTTTTTTTTTTTTTGCATAAAAATCGTTTGGTAGTGAACATTTAGAATCATTAAAAGCACAAGTAGGAAGCAAGGTCGCAGGGAGGTTTGGTAATTGTTGCAAATAATAATAATAATGTATTTAATAATTATGGACCTATATTTAGACACTCCATATGCCATACCCCACAAAAGATCGCATGATCTTTCTTATCAATAATTTTATGGTCGCATGATCTTTCTTATCAATATATTTAGACACTCCTTTATGTTCTGCTGACCACTAACAATAATTATTAGGCTAAATTTCCCCTTTAAGCATCAAAAGGTTAGTAGAGCTTCCATCTAGAGTAATTGAAAAGTCCTCACAAGATGTGGCAGAGAGAAACCATTTGTTTAGGCCTCAATTTGCATTTATATTTTACAGTATCACCTAACACGCAAGGGTAATTACTAAATCATCTAAACTTCTTTTACGTATTTGTATTTGATAAATGAAAGAGAATGCTAGTAATGAGGAAGCAAGCTACCAGGTGTATCAGGTATGTATATAAGACTCTCAAATCATGATGTTGCTACGATAAACATTTAACCCACGTTATTTTACAAATAAAGGAAAACCAAATAAAAATGGAAGACAAAACATGGGATCAATGCCCACTCGCAATTGCATTTTGTCTTTCACTTTATGAAATGATGGGCTACAAGCCTAAGACAAAGAAAGGCAAATGGCATTGTCACCTCACTGTGATATAAGTGTTAATACCTTATTTTGGCCCGAACTATGACCATACAATCAATTTTGGCACGCGGTTTCAGAAATTAACATATTGACTTCAACTATGCAGTATATAGACTAAATTGGCCCGACACATGCTTTGACCGTCAATTTGGATGGTCAACACGCCTTGTCATTGCGTAGTCAGCCTAAAAATCATTAAAAAATTGAAATTGAAATTATTTTTTTAATTATTATTATTTATCATTTTCAAATTAACCAAAAAATAAAATTCAAACATATATAATAAATTTTATGATTTATCTTTTGGGATTTTTGAAAATAATAAATTTTATAATTAAAAAAAATTATCAAATTAAATTTTATAAATGTAGAAAATATAAAAAAACATTAACAAAAAAATGATTTTTCTAATTCAAATTAATTTTAAATTTTCATTATTCATCATTATCAAATTAAACAAAAAAATTAATTTATAAAAACATAAAATCAATTTATATTTTATTTTTTTTGGTTATTTTAAAATGAACAATTTTATAAATTAACAAAAAATTATCAAATTATTAAAGATTTTTTAAATTACCAAAAAAAAAATATTTTTAAAATGTACCATTTTCAAATGTCCCAAAAGGCCAGTCTACGGCCAGTTTAAAATACTTGGCGCCCGGAGATCTCAAGAGCCGCCTAGATACGTGGCCACATCGCCATGAGGAGAGGCACCATAGGGAAAGATCACCGAGTCCAAGGAGGAGGTCCCGCACGCCTAAACGTAGAAGGTCAAGGTCGCAAAGAAGGGAGCGATCACTCCGACGCGACCGCTTACCGCCACCGCCAAGAAGATCACCTCCACAACGGTAAACTCGGCTTAATGACGATGACGTAGAGGTCATCACCATCGCGGGCGGTCGGAAGCGGCCAAGAAGTGAAGGAGAACGCCTAGTCAAATGCTTAAATGTTAATATGAGTGAGCAAGTGGACATCAGCTTTTCGCCCTCCAAGATGGCGCCTGACGAAAGTGGGGAACATCATCTGGTTCAAACCGATTCGGGTCTCTGAAAAAACATGAGTTAGCAAAATGAGAAGCCGAAAAGGAGACAAAGGCAAGGGCACGAGCGCATATCGCGAAGAAAAATCGACAAGTCACCGCCGCCAAGTGCTTGGTGTCTGATGCCAAGACGGGAGTTCCCGCGAAGTGAGTCTAGTCATCAGGAACAGCCAATCCCTCGGCGATCACGTGCATGGCACGCTTAGCAGCTACGGGATACAAGTAAGCTTGGGAGCAGAAGGAGACGGAGGTGTAAATGGAGGTCCTCTTCTGCTTCTTGGACGCAATATAGGAGTCGATAGGAGTGGCCGGCTTCTCAACAAGAACGCCCTTTAACCGGGGCTCCCCAGCGGTCGACTTCGGGTCCTTCGAGGTCATTATGTCCAAAGGCCGCTTGGAGGAACTCCTTGTGAGAGCAGGCTCCGACAGCTTTAGCACTTCTGTGCGCCTGGCCACCAGTTGCTTTTGGGAGGGCGAAGCAAGCTTCGCAGCAGGAACCGCTGGGCGAGCGGCATTGGCAGGAAGATGAGAAGCGGGGGCACTGGTTCCTGGCTTCGGCGGTCGGGCAGAGGAAGCGTAGCGGCGAGTACCTGTGGAATAAATATATAAGTAAAGAACATGAGACATACATTCAACGCAAAGGGAAAACAACTAACCGTGAAAGCGCCGAATAATCTCCAAGGCATTATCATCGCCCTTCGGAGGGAGGTTAATCTGAAAAGCGCTCATAATCCGCTTTGAGAGCGGTTTGAATGACTCGAGGCCGTCAACCTCAGTATTCCAGTCCTTCTTGTCTCCAACCGCGAACCCCGTCGGCGGCTCGACTTCCCCGGAGTACCAGTTATCCTTAGGACGAGCGAAGAAATACTCTTTAAACCAGGAGAGTCCAGCTTCGGTGCTCCCCTCACAAAACCAACCCGCGTCTCTCGGCGCTAGCAGGACCAGCAGTTGTCAGAACCCCTCATTTTGTACAACAGACGGAACGCATCAAAAGAGGGGGTCTCACCGATCTTCTCGCATGCGGCCCTGAA